TATCTTAAAAGTTTATTAAGTCTTAAAAGGGCAAGTGAAAAACCTACACATTCTCTAAATTGTTTGGAGCATGATTTGAAGTTCAGTAGACTCTTAATTAAAACACTCAAGCAAATATTTGAAAATTTAAAGTTTGTTCCTCTAGTTGCACAGTGATCAGATAATCTGCTTTATGGCCACCTGAACCCAATGAAATTTATAACTTCTACATTAATGGGAGGAGTTGTCTGTTTTTCATGAAGCCAGTGAGAAGAATGAATGTAGAAATACAGACTACTTCAAGCTGTGAAGTAGAATAAGTTGTTTCCTCAGACTTTATTCTTTAGTTAGACTTCCCATTGAAGTAGGGTTAATGATATTGATCAGTGAAAAATTCATTTTAAACAATTTGATCCTAGAAATACAAAGGTCCAGAAGATATCAGCTGGCATCTGCAGCATTCCTGTGGCAGGTTTTCCTGTTGACAGCTCAGGACGGTAGGCTGCTCCACTAAAACCAGCCAAGGAATTACAAAAAACACCATGAATCTTCCATACCCAAGCTGTCACATCTGCTAAGCTAGACATTTCTACAGTACTAGCCCTCTCTTCTCCTCTGTGTCTTAGGCTAGCAAAAAACAATAACTAAAACAAGGGAATAACTGTGATGGTTTCCAGCTTTTGCAGAGGAGCCAAAGCAGTGAGGTGACGGGGTCTGTGCTGCACCAGCCCTGAGCAGCCGGAGGCTGGTTGCTAGCTCCATCTGCCCCTTGCAGCAAGGTTAATCTGTCACCATGGCTGTGCCAATGTAGCCCTGCTTGTCTTGCCATGAGCTGGACAGGACTTCTCCTCCTCCTGAATATCGTTACAACTTTTCTCATTTGTAACTGGATAGAATTAATTAAATAGTTGAATAAAGTCCACTGAAACTTCCTAATGAGATCCTGAGTATATTGGTCTTGTCACAGTCAGCAGAGGTAGTCAGTGATTGCAGGTTTCACCTTCCTTATTCATCTGCATATTTCATTTTAGAGGCTTGATTCAAACCCTTGAAAGAGACCCCCTCCTCAACAGTATTTTTTACAATGAGGTTGGTGAAATACTGGAACATGTTGCCCACATCCCTGTAAACATTCAAGGTGGAGAGGGCTCTGAGCAACTGGATCAAGTTAAATGTGTCCCTGCTCGCTATAGCAGGGTTGGACTAGAAGAAAGGTCCCTTTCATCCCAAAACATTCTATGAATGTACAATTCTAAATTATCTTTTTAATGACAAAGTGTATTCATAGGGCAATTAACACCAATCCCACAAAAACTATCTTCAACAAACAGTTTTATCCTTTGACTGTTGTTCTTTTCCCACTGTGATACTTAACACTTGATTCTTTTTTATCACAGAAACAATTTAGGAGTTTATGTCAGCAGAACAATAAAATGTGTCATTCCTTTCACCTAAAAATTCTTGCTTGGCTCTTCAGAAGCACATTTAAAATTAACCCTGTTTCTTCAGACTCATAAAATAAACCAGTACTGAGTGCCAGTGAGGAACCCCACATCACCGCTAAAACAGAGATAGTGGATACGCTGCAGTTTAGATTCAGAGTATCTCCTGCAATGGAATATATTCTCTTACAACTGCCACAGGGATTCGAAGTATCTCAAAATCTCACTGCAGTAGCAACGTTTTGACTAGTTAGATCAAAATCTCTTCTGGTAATGTTCTGTTTGCCTGGCAAGCTTTTGCACTGCTATTACACACTTTGTAATTTCAATTTAGTTGGATAGTGAGTTGGATATTGCAGTCTCTATAAATAGCTGCAATGTCAACATCTTTCATTTCCATAAATGTTTGAAGAATACTGTTATTTTGCAACTAGCTCAATGACCCATAATTTTGATTGGATAATTATTCCACACAGAGAGAGATTTATATGAAGGCTATGTAGTACAACTTGGGAGTTAAAATCAGTAACTGTGGAGAAATTCCCTTAGAAAATGAATTTGTTTTCTCCAACTGCAAACCTTAGTATAAAAGTCCATGCCTGGCTATAGTATCCCTCTTATGATCCTACAGTTTTATTGGTTATATCATAATCTGAGATATTATGTTAGTATTATGATAGATAATTTTTAATCTTTCTGAACATGGACAAACAATACAAACGTTAAGAGAAAACAGTAATACATAACATAATATCTTATTATAATTTTTTTCAACTATGATGTTCAGGAGGAGGAGAAATGTCTTTCTCATTCTGCCTCATCGTATTGTTAATTCCTGTGACACTGGTGTGCACAGTGTTCACTCTCAGTTCAAGTTCTAACAGATGTGATGATTTTAGCTACAGGCAGTTTGCTAAGTCGTCAAAACTGGGATGGGAAATTCCTTCCCAGGTCATCTCCTCTTCCTCATATTTTCAACTAGTCACAGTCTACTGATCTGCCTTCACTGACATTAACTTCAAATCAAGAAATACTCCAACTGGGTATAAATGTATTGGCACTGCAATTTGAACTAGCAGGAGAAGCTTCAGTCTGACTTCCCATGACTGTGTGTTGTTTGATTAGATTTGATCTGTATAGACACTGCTAAACAGAAAATCTAATTATAATACTGATGTAGAAATCCTTATAAGCAACATAACTGGTAAACTATGCTGATTTGCAAAACAATCCAGGACACAATAATGAGAATAATTTTCCTATTTCCATATAGAATTCTTTCCTTCATTAAAAAAAAAATTGCATAAGAAAAATAAGTTGTTAACCAAATGTCTCGTATTTACACTGACTTAAAAAATCTCTTTAAGGTCATTGGAAAAAAAGGATTTAAAATAACATAAAAATAACATCTAAAAAAAATTATTAGGATAGTAAAATTAGGTGAAAATAAGAAGAAGGCAATGCCTCATTGTAATAAGAATACACAACAAGAGAAAACATAAATCATATCTTCCATGATCCGATGAATATTCCCAAAACCTAGAGAAAATAAATATTACCAGTTGTGATCTAGAAAATTCTATAAGAGTCATATTTGAACATTATGTTTCAAAAATATTAAAAAATGAAGTAGGAAAAAAATCTCTACAGGCTTTTATCAAAAGGGAAAACTATAAAGAAAACTCTGCTGAAGTAAAATAAGAAAACTCTTAAATCCCTTTGTCCATCCTGAGGGTAGAAAAAAAAAGAATTTTAACTACTAGACATGCCCTTCAGAAACAAGATCCCAACAGAGAATAAATATCTCTTTAAAATTAATTTTAAATGGTGTGGTTTGTTTGATTTTCTTTTATTTCACCTGTTCTGTGTCCTGTTTAACTCTTTAAATTCATTTTAGGTGGTGTGGTACATTACTATTTTCACTGCACGTGATAAAATAAGATACAATTATTTTCTGTTTTTAAGGCAACTGTCCATGCTGCAACATACTTAATGTGATAATTACTGTATGCAATCAAGAGTGGCAATTTAAGTGCCAATGACTTACACATACTAATGCAGCTGCTATTTATTTTCCACCAAAGTTAGTTTGCAAGTTAGGTTTGCTTAGTTTTAATGGTAAACTAAAATGCTCATAGTTTCAATACTTGGGTGCTACAAGATACACCTTTGAGAAATGTGATGAAAACACAATTTGAACTTTGAGTTAAAAAATGTTTAATTTTGCACCTTTTTCATTGTAAGAAATGAGATCTATTTTTGTTTTCAGTTTTGAATACATTACCAAATAAAAGTTGTTTTCAATCAACAATTCATTTAACTTTTTAAAATCTATTTGCTTCCTTTATGGATTTGAGCTTTTCTAGGGAAAAAAGCTGTATACATACACCCCATTACCTATACAACTACTTGATAAGTGGCTTGTTGTCATTTGTAGGTGCTTGCACTAATCCATTAAAAAAAAAAATCTCCTAATGGCTGTCAAAAGTCTGATTGTTCTACATTTCAGGCAGAGTCAGCCTTTAAAGACTTTAAAGACTATTGAAGTGTTTTATCTTCTGAATTATTCTCATAATATCCAGAAAATTTGAGAAACAATTTTTAGCAATTTGTTTTCAAGGGCAAAATATGATTTATCATTAAAGTTAAGGCAGTCAATATGTGCATTGTCAGTATGCTAGAAATTTTAATGCAGTTCACCAAAATAATTTCTACCCCAAGACTTTCTTAGAGATACTGAAGAAAGAGAAGTTAACAGATACGTGGCAAATAAATGGAACCATGATTCATACATGAGTAACTAGAATTCCCTGTGCAGATACAGGTAAGCACAAATACACAAAATCTCATTTGCAAAGGTCTCTACTGCATCTAAAACACATATATTTGGTCATTGTGTTGCCACACCATTAAAATACCCAACGGCATTAAAATCCACAGCATGCACAGGGAAGTGAAATGTATGCTTCTGCTACACTAATTATCTACATTTTACTCAGAATCCTATTATGATTTTTAACTTGCTTTTACAAGCATTTAATCCTTTTTCTTTTTGATAAACAACAAATATTCAATTTAAATGAATAACTAACTAGTTGGGGAGGTTTATATAATTTTTTGTTATACCACGTTTAGTGAAGAAAATCCCATTTCTAAAGAAAATTAATTACATATTCTCTGCCTATCTACATAAAAAGATAAATCATTTAATACAGTCATATTTTTTGCATGTTACCCTCACTTTGTGGAGGCTACTAATTCATTTTTTGGTGGATGACATCCTGATAGCAAAAAAATATGAAAATAGCTCTTACATGGAGAATATCAAAGAGAAAGGTACCATATGTGAAGAGTGAAAATGGAAAGAGGTTTTAAAAGTATTTTCTCTTTTTTTGGAAGAGAAATGGTAAGCGCATTTTTAAGAGGCCAAAGTAATAAAAAGCAGCACTGAACTAGGAGGCATGGGGGAGCTCTTTCCAGTCTTCAGGCAGAACAACAGTACCTCAGAGTGCTAAACTATTCTACTGGAGCACATAGACCCTTACAGATGTCAAATTTTCAAAAGAAATAGTTTATTACCTTAACTAGAACTTGGATATGTCCCATTGCTTTTGATGACTTGAAGTACCAGAAGCTCATCACACAAGTTCCACTTGATTCTTTCCACCTGGAACTCTTCACATGGGTTTTTCCACTTTTTAGGCCTATTGCAGTGGCCTCAAGATACAGGAATTGTCCTGAAATCAAATGATGCATTACTGAAAAATTGTTTTGGACATTCAAATTGATTCCAAAACTCAGCAAAGTAAATGCAGAGACACAGGAAGTAGAATTCCCATTTAACTCCAATGTTAGTGAAAATCAGTTTGGGGTAAAAAAAATGACTAGATCACATTCCTTGTGTCCTTTTTGTATCAGGAATAAAGTGGAAGCAGCTTAACATTTGGATGAGCCTGTGCAGAAGTGAGAGAATACTTGCATGTTTCCCAGCTGCTCTGATTACGTCCTTGCCCAACAGCATCCGCTGCTATTTTGACAGCACATTATACAACAGCCGCATAGTGATAAATTTCAGGATGAAGTTTTCAGAAAGACAATCCTCAGAATAGCAAGTCATACTATACAAAAACTTGTGAAACAGGCAAAAAGCCTTCATACATTTATAAATCATTAGGTACCCCTAATGATTCATACTACCTTTGGCCATCTGTACTATTTAGTGTATGAATATTAACTCATATTTAAATTAAGCAATCAGAGGAAACTGCAAAAAAATTGCCTACAGAGAATGCTTTCAACACTGGCATGTGGAGTTTTCAATTTTTACTTTTAATGAGGAGCATAATAAATTTTTCAAGTTTTCAAATTAATTTTTCTCCTTTGTACAAAATCAAAATGTATAGTTCACATAAACATAAATGTAGTATAAATAACACATTGTTAAATTATAATTTCACATCTAGTGAAGTTTGTATATGAATTAGAGAAAAAAACCCCAAATTTTATTAGAGATAGAGTAAAAATTGGTTAATTTAAACTTTGAGAATTCTCATAGATGTTTGCAATAATGTTATGGGATGAGGAATTTGCATTTTTCCTGTGGTGAAACATATATTTAACAGTTGTAGTGACACATTCATGACGATATTTCAAAAAAATACTATAAAATTGGAAAAATCAAATGAACTTATTTTTTCTATATGTACTGTTTTGTGTGTTGAAAGAGCCATATACATAAACACCATGAGATAACAAAAGCATGTCACATCATGGCATCAGTGTCTGCTAGGAAGATGTGGCTGGACTCTGCACTGGCCGTGTTGATGTTTGTTAATACCTGTTTAATACTAGACAACTGAGTTCTGTCTGGAGGAAACCAATATTTCACAGTCTTTGCAAGGAAACTTGAGTGACTGAAGTGGCAGACAAGGGATGCTCTGAAGGACCTCTTGATCTGCATGGCTGCGACCAGCACTGTGGGACAGTGGGCTGATCTCAGCTAGCCGAGTTTGGCTAGGAGATAACAGGACAATGCACTTAATTTCAAAGAGAAAGATGTAATTCTAGCCATAAGCAGAATTTCAACTTTTTAATGTTAAAAACAGAGGTGCTAAGAGTGGAGTTAGAATTAAGCAACTGTTAGAATTAAGCTGTGGTTTTGGAAGTACGTGCTGAAATTTGTCTTTGTATAGGAACCGATCACAGAATACTGCAGTATACTCTGCCATGTATGACAAAATTTTAGCAGCTGAGCAGAATTTTGTTTTGGTTCTCTTGTGATGAACACAGTTATTAAGCGCTCTCCGTTCTAAGAAGAGATAACTGTGTGTTTTGGCCAAAACAAACCAGGAGCTGTACTGCCACACAAATTATTTATTTATTTTAAATTACCTGAAATTAAACTATGAATAGTCACTATGGGTAACTATAAGCTGCTTGGAAATTAGCTCAAGCTCTGGAGGAGCAGGTCCCAATGGATCGCAGAGCTGAGCTAACTCATCCTTGCAAGCTGCAGGGAGAGAAAATGCCTCTCTCCTAACAAGTAACAAATTACAATAACAAATTATCTCACTTGTCTCATGCAGGACATACAGCCATACTTAAAGGGGAAATACTTGAGAAATAATTTTTCTTAAAGTGATTTTGCAAGAGTAATTAATATTTTGATATTGTTATACATCTAATTCATTAAAAATGACATCCTAATTAAACCTGTTAGAACCCCCCTGCTGCCTGTGAAGGGAGGTATGAGAAGCTCTGGTTACATCTCGTTTGTGAACTGACAACATACCAGTTCTGTTTCCGAGCGTGTGGTCCCTGGGAGGTCTAAGACTTTGAGGTGAGCTGACCCCTAGCACCCAGTTAAAGTTGTCTGCCAGGGAGTTTTGCCAGCCACAGCAGCCGTTCTCAAAGGTGCAGGAAGTTCCGCATTCACTCTCATCTGTATTATCCCCACAGTTGTCTTCAAAATCACAGCTTTGTTCTGGTCTGTAACACTTGCCATTCTGACATGGCCAATAGCCATGTGAGCAGGAGCCTGAAAAGAGAAGAATGAGGGTGTCCTGGTGAATCACACTGCCATGCATCCCAGCAAGGTTACTGGAAGGTTACTGCTCAGAGAGTCTGATATTTAGGAGGAGGAGGGTGGTCCAGAGCAGTTTTATTAAAAGCCTTTGGTTCCCCTGAAGTGCCAATCCATTATCAGTTTATTTCTTTTGTATTTTTTCAAGAGATTCCCTAAATAAGTGACTGTTTCCCTTGTAAAGTCTTTGAGGGCAAGTTCCAGCCAGGCATTCCTTCACTAACAAAGCATTCTAGTCTGACTTAATTGCTGACATTCTCCTTTCATGTGGTGTAGGATTAAACCATTTCATTTTAGCTGCAAAGTTGAGCTTAGCTTTAGCAGCCTCAATTTGGAAGAAAAGGCTTTTCTATTTTAACTACAGAGGTTTGTCTTTTAATGGATTTTTTTTTCTTTTTTCCTCTTTCTTTTTTCTTGCAGACGAGTTCAGTGGGTTGATACTGTCTTCTTTTTTTTGTGCAGTATTCCTGGCATTACTGAGGGATAATTCTGCTATTGTACAGCCTAAAAATTGCAGGACTCATTTAACAGCATCTATTTCCAAGCTCCATGTTTTCATTTCAGATCAGTTTCTGCTGGGCTCTGGATAAAAAGCAGCCCCTTCAGTACATTCCCTAATTAGGAAATTCTGAAATGGTCCATTCCTATGTCCGTTCTGCTCTGCCAACAAGAAATGCACAAGCATAATTTTATCTATAAATAGAAGTATCACTATATTAGCTCATTGGATGTAAAATTAAAATATGTACATGTATGAAAGTTGTACAAGTATGGGAAGAATCTAAACTAACTGATTGAAAATCACATAAAGCCAAAGCCATGTTTCCACTACCATCATGGTAATTTAAAAGAGGATCTAATGGTGCTAAATGAAATTCACACAAAGCTAGATTTTATTAAAAGGTTAGAATAACTAATTTATTAAAAAAAGAAAGCAAGAGATGGGAAATCAGCTGGTGTGTTGGCAACCTCCATCCCTAGGACTTGGTCTATGCCAGACTTTAAATTAGAAATGTCCCAGACTAAGTGAAAAACCTTTGCTGTAGGACTTTGGTTAAAATGAAAACAATCCTTGGATTTCTATATGTTAGCTAAAGAAAACAAACATTAATCCCACTTATTATTAAAAAAGAGAATAAATAAATGAAAATAAACATTTGAATACCGTAGAAATTTCTAGCAAGTTTTCCAGAGAAATTATTAATTTTTAATTCCTGATTTCTTAGTAACATAAAAGCATGTATCATGTTTGCTCTAGAAGACTGTGTATGATTTGGCTTATTAAGTTGATCAAAGAAAGAAGGAAAAAATCTTGAATAGAAAGAAGCAAGCAGAATAATAGTCTGATAATGACTTAGAAAGTCAAGAATATTAGGCATAGGTCTCCAGAGACAGAGACAAAGAAAATGGGTACTAGAAGAAAAACACTTGTTTGACGTTCACAGTCAAAATTTATGAAAGCATAAGTGTTATTTTTATTAGCACATAATCTCTGAAAATGGTCTTGGCCAAAAGAACAGAGTAGATGTATTGATGTATCACTCAGTGTCTAAATATTGCAACCTGCAAGAGATTTGGAGTCCATCAGAAACTTCTCTGCCTATCTGCTGAAGAATACCATTCATCTGTGTTGTTTCCCAAAGGGTGACGGAAGTTTGTTATAAAATCAATGCCCAATTTAAATGACATCTATTTTTAGGAGCTAATTATTATAACCCTATATCCCTTTTATGTGATTGTACTAAGGATTTAAATAAAAAAATTATTTTGTCAGCAAACCAGGAATTCAAATTTCAGGATGCAGCCCATGCTTGAAAATACTTTTCCTTGTTGTTCATCATGATTGATAATTGCAGTAACTACTGCATTTTGAGGTCTCTTTGCAGCACTGCTTCCAAATTTGGATGAAAAAAAAAGAAAAGTAGAGTTGAAAAGGGGAAGTCCTTGTTTTCTGAGAAAAGAAAAACAGAAAAATCCATCTTGAATCCTGGCATGAATGAATCTTTTCAAGCATGTGTAATGAACGATATTACACTGTCTAACTGAGTCTGTAACGTGACTTGTTTCTGGATGTACTTCCATAATAAGTTTTCTCTTTAAATCACATATTTCTAAGGTTTTGTAATTGTAAAAACAAACAACCCTAACAATCCAAACACTGTGATATATATATACTTGTGGGTATAATACAGATATCTTATTGAGAGGAACTTCTCCTTAGCAAGGTTTAGTACATTTTTCCTCCAAACAGAGCTTCTTAAACATTTTTAGTAGGTAGAATTTTTGCCTTATGTGGTAATTTCTTCAAGACAGTAGGCTGCAATGGACCCAAAGGAATATTTAGTGTCTTTCTGATCAATAATCTCTGAATAGAGGAGGACTGACATGACCGAGGAAAACATCTTGCACTGGTCAATAATCCCCTTGTTTTAGATACACTGAGCAAAATCAACAGACGGAACATTTATATTTTAAAATATGTAATTAGGACAAGGATTAATCACCTTTATTTTACACAGGTATTTTTCTTAAGTGTATTCTGAAAAAAATGTACCTGCAAATATCAAGGGGAAAAATAATCTTTGTAGCAGAACTGAAATTAGGTTTATGTTCTACATCAATAGATTTTGAATAATAATAAATATGGTGTGGTATATATAATCTTTGAAGTCACAGTCTATTTGACAACAGGACTTTTCTATGAGATAGCTAATTTCTATATGACTTTATATCAAAGTAATAACTTTATTGCTTGTTCAGGTCCTTTCTGAAAATGAACTCAAATAAAATTTAAATCTTCTAAAATACATTCCATTAACGTATGATAAGGTGATGCACAAACATCTTTTTATTTATTAATTTCTTTTACTTTCTTTTACTGAGAAGAACTCGATGTTTTCCACTATCACTTAAAAGGTCTTAAGATCCTCAGATGACCTTCCTAAGTCTCTGGTGTTTTATCACCTAAATTATTTATCAGTTCTTTGTTCCTCCATAATATTTAGTTTGCTTTTTATATCAGGGTGAGAATCATTCATTCTTCGTTTTATGAAGGTAATAGTTTTGGGGTTTGTTTGGGTTTTTTTTTAATACCACTTGTTACTTTACCATTAAAATCCACTACAAGTTCTCACAAGGTGTTTGGAGTCATATCTAAGTATGCAATCATTTAATTTACACTCAGTATCGATGAAAACAAATTGTGTCATATTTTTGGGGGTTAACTATGAAAGATTCCCAAAGGAATTGTCTGACTACACACTTCTGTTAAGTTGCCAAATGGAGCCCTATTAATGCAATTTATCAGATATAAGCTTAAGGAATAGCTTGATAATGTTCTGTAATTACCTGTAAGAAGTCAAACACTGATAGCAGAAAGCTCTAATCCAGTAGGAAAAAACCTCAACATTACATGATGGAAAATTATGTTAGTGAAGTTCAAATGAAAATAAAATTATTGAGAAGTTAGTGATTGAACAGATAATCAAAAACTAAGACAAATTCCCTATCACTTAAGGGTTTTAAATAGGGACTAATTTTTCTTCCCAAGAGATATCAGATAATTTTAAGTTAAACTAAAATATAAATGAAGGAAAACTTTAGAAAAAACAAACTGGTTAGTGTTTAAAGTACATATTAATAGCAATGTCTTTCTGGTTTTAAAAATCAAAGTGTAGTTGCAGACCTTAATTTACTTATATAATTACTAGAATTTACAACAGATAAACTATGTGTTTAAGCACGTCTATAGCAGTTGCAAAATAGAGATGAAAATTTCAAATTCTCCATTAGATTACAGTCTTATTGAAGTTGTTCCTTTACATATCTTTACTTATTGGAAATAAATTATGTAAAATAATTAAACTGATAAATATAAATAAGATCAGAACTTCTGGAAAACTGCAAAAATATGATTGTATATGCGCTTACACTAGTTATGAGTCTAGTAATAAAATTTTAACACTTAAATGTTTCTTTTTCAGTTCTTTTTTCATACCAGCATTGTTTTAAAATCACCAGCAAGCTAATTCATGTTTTAGAATGACAGGAAATTGACTGGTGATGAGGATATTCCAGCTAAATTTAAACTTCTCAAATTTAATGGTATCATCACCTATGTTTTCCAAAACTAAATTCAGTCAAATGAATGGTCTGGTTGACAACTCTCAGAAGTATCAGAATAACACATCAATAGGCTTGAAAAGCTACGTCTGCTTCAAAATATTTTCAACACATTTTATGTACAGTCACACAGCTAGAAGTATCTCTGTTCCTAAATTAAAGCTACAATTCCTGTAAAAACCATAATCTAGTATAGAGGCCAGAGTAATCAATCAGGATAACAGATCGACATCTCGAGGAAAGGGGCTCTCTGGATAATTTACATCTATGAGTTTTCCCCTGCAAAAATTACTCCGTTATCATTCTTACTCTAAGTTGACATTGTTGTATGACTGAATTGTAATGTGTCCTTAAAAGAAAAAAGTTAACATCTTTCCTCTAATATCTCACCAGTATACCTAAGGACATAAAATACTTTCATCACAGTTGATGATGCACAGTAATAATGACTTATCAGCACAGAAATGTGAAAAGTACATCTCATTTTAAAAGCAAAGCTTTGGAAATTACAACAATTTTTTAAGACTTTCAAAAGTTGAAGTGCTGGGAAACTTAGAAACTACTGCACATTATCAGGTCTCTCTTTTTAAATAATTGCTTTTCTCTAAGATTAAGTGCAAACATTTGAACTTTTGGTTTTCATAGATTCATTCAGGTTGGAAAAGACCCTTGGGATCATCGAGTCCAAACATTAATCCTACTCTACAATGTTCACCTATAAACCACATCCCCCAACACCACATCTAAATGACCTTTAAACACATCCAGGGATGGTGACTCAACCACCTCCCTGGGCAGCCTATTCCAGTGTCTGACTACTCTTCCTGCAAAAA